ATGGCTCATTAAAGTGACTCCTTCTATGATTCCTTCTAAACTCTTCATCCCACAGGTTTTAATGCTTCTCCACCCTTTTGGGTCTTGCTGTTCCACTAATGAAGCTAGCCTTTTTTTTCTAGTTCTGCTGCCTATTAGTTGCTTGGGGTAATGTAACTCCTATTTCCCAGCCCTACAGACCTTTTTAATTTATTCCAATGAAGTGATATTTATTTTTGCTTTGCTCTTAAACCAAATGATACAGCCCTAGGCTCTGAGCACAGTAGTAAATCTATTTTCTTTTTTACCTGGAGACAAATACGAGTCTTTACATAGGATGTGGCACCACACCATCTGCATTCCCCTTTTCAAAACCCTAGGCCTGCCCCTGGATGCAGGGAACCCTGGAGCAATGTGATGTACCCCAAAAAAGATGCAAGGCACCCTGAAATAGACTTGAGGTGCCCCCAGGTACATGTGAGCACCCTGTAATGGATGGGAGGTACCTCTGGATGGATGTGAAACACCCTGAAATAGATGTGAAGCACCTCTTAGTAGATGTGAGGCACCCTGTGAGACAAGCACCCCCAGACAGATGGAAATAGACTTGAGGTGCTCCCAGGCAGAGGTAAGGCACTCTGAAATAGATGTGAGGCACCTCTAGGTAGATGTGGGCCCACCCCCAGATAGACATGTGGCACCCAGGAATAGACTTGAGGTGCCCCCAAGTCAATGTGAGCACCCTGTAATGGATGGGCAGCACCTCTGGATAGATGGAAGGTACCCTCAAAAAAGATGTGAAGCACCTCTAAGTAGGTGTGAGGCACCCTGTGAGACAAACACCCCCAGAGACATGAGGCACTTGGAAATAGACTTGAGGTGCTCCCAGGCAGATGCCAAGCACCTGGGAACAGACTTGAGGCACCCCGGAATAGATGGGAGTCGTCCCGAGGTCAGTGCGGGGCAGGCACCCCCAGGCAGACCCGAGACACCCCCAGGCGAACAGACAGGAGGCACCTTTCATAGACACGAGGCCCCGGAACCTCTGCATGGAGGCGGGGCCCCCTCAGAAAACACCAGCTTTTCGTTTCACTTTTTTGTTTGTTTGCTGGTTAGGCTCCCGAGAAGCCCCGCAGCACGGCGAAGAGCTGAGCGAGACCTCCGCGGGGCAGGGGGAGCCCTCCAGCCCGGCAGCACCTCAAGGCGCGGGGGTAGGAAGGCCCGCCGAGGAGGCGGGCTGGAGAAGGCGCCTGGGCGCGGCGCCGGCCGGCTCCTCCCCTCCGCCCCGC